CTTTGAATAATCCCATCGACACAGCTTGCTTCTAGAGACTGTCAACAAATGCGACGGTCTGGTTAACATCGGATGCACGAATTCATCAAGGTACTCTCAAGGTCGGAACCCTCATTTATACATTATTTGTGAAGCTCATACTGTCTAGTACTCTCAATAGATCGCCAGAGTACTTTATGCTCAGGCACGACCTCTGGCTTCTAGTCTCGTGCTGCTAAGAACATCGAAACACCTTGCTGCTTCTCTTTTGTTGTCGCACCTTCCGAGCGCGGAGAGAAGGCTGCTGGAAGATCAAGTGTATAGTGATTCAGCATGCTCGTATCACACCTTCCCATTCTCTTTCATGGCTTGCTGTACCATGCAACTCAACACCATCTCAGTCATCTCCGTCATCACCGAGATGAGCTTCATCTTTTACGGACATGCCTGCTCAAGATCGGCCTCGGAGGACCTCCGGTCGGTGAGCACCCGCGTATCTGCTGCAACGCGAAGCGTACTTATCTCCCTAGTTTGGCACTAGGTTCAGAAAAGAGATCGGAATCGGCATGCGCCCGCCATCGCATCTGATGGCGGGCATCTCAAAGACAATAAACCTGGGACGATACATGACTGAGCTTTTCCTCATTCTGGCTTGGTCCATTGAGCGGCGCATGGCGGATGGAAGACGCAGGCTTCACCCGGATGCCGTGCTGCTACCGTCCACTAGAGGTAGACAATCAGGTCTTAAACGTACTAGCCACAGCGACTGGTGCCAGTATGTTTGCATCCGCCCTGCCTGATCCCAGCTCCACGCTCGCCACACCGCCGATGGCACGGAATTCATCAGGGTGTGAGCACCGAACATTCTATGCTCGTAAATTGCGCTGATATACGCGTACTCGCCGCAGTCATCCAACACAGTAGAGACGGGCTGTTCTGTACAATACGGAAGGAGCGACGCATGAGGTTCCTACACCTCTATTTCGAGTCCGCTTTCGAAGATCGTAGTGATAAATAAGTATATGTCATATAGATCATGCATCACAACTGGCGGACGAGGAAACACGGGCTTTTCGCACTTTTGGTATGTGAGTATATGTCGAACTGGGTCGAATTGCTCGCTTACCATCCGCCTGTAATAGACTCCGCGAATCCCCGGTGAGTATCACTCAGCTCGGCTGTCCGCGTCCTCGAGGGTCTCGTGAAGACGACCACGCGGAGGGTCGTAATTAGTTACGTTGGTCAAGCGAGGATACTGGATGGGAAGGGTCGTAGTCAGTACGCAGAGCTGCAATGTTAGACGAGTGTACTTGACAATATCGGGAACTTGAACTGGCAAAGGAGAACTAACGGTCGACGAAACGAAGAATGTACCGAAGGCAAAGAGAAGACCCAGGCACTTGAGGTACATGCCGTTCGTTCAAAAAAAGGAGCGAAAGGTGAGAAGGCGAAGGTGAAAGATGCCAGAGTCTGGCGATGCTGCCCTCATTCATATTGGAAGAACGGGTCAGCTGTCAGCTATCACTGCCCTTCGGGTCGGAACAGACCGTCTCTCTTCCCCGACGTACTTGGCCGCCACGCCAAGATGAGGGTACGACATCAAACATAACCTGTTCAGGAACGTCGTGGCGAGCGCATCGCAACATGAAATAAGGCTGTACTCACTCTGATAGATACTATCCCACTCAGGCTGGCAATGCGGCCTTCTTGTGGGGCTTTATTACAAGCACAGAGCAATCTGCTAGAGTTAGAAGAACGGCCGTATCAGATGCACAAGATATAGATCATCTTACGGACAGTACACAGGAACCTTGACAATGGCCATACTACGGCTGACTCTTGAGGAGGTATGATAATTCCGAACGCAGCTTCCAGATCACACTCGACTTCATGTGATCAGTTGCGTGCTACGATATGTAACAAAACTGAAGACTTCAACCGCCTAAATAGCGATGAGCTGCTAGGTCCATCAGTTGTCGCGACCAATTTTAATAAGAACAGACGTACTACACATCGGATCAAGGATACTGAATGATGCGTCTGAGAGCGAGCACTAGCAGAGGTGTTCATTGCAGCAGTTCGGGCCACCACCGCATGCCTGATCTTCATTCCTTGCAATTCGCACTCCAACGCGCTCTGAATATGGTGATAAGTAACATTGGTCCAACGAACTATCATGCTCGGTATCAGTAGCTCACCCGGAGAAGCCGCCGCCACTGCTATAAAGGGCAGAACGATAGCCAAGAGAAATGGAATGTGCTTGAACTGCATCGTGGTGTTCGAGTGAGGGCAAGAGGGATGATAGAGCGAAGCGTCTTCGCAAGCCTTTTGTCAGAACAGCGGCGCAGCTATGTAAAGCAAACAGACTCACCTTGTCAGAGGGTCTGCCGCCTAGACCGGGCCCGGGAGGAGAGCATGCCTTGCGGGACAATCGTAAAAATAACCATGACAGGATCACTGTCGCGGCCGTGCAGGCCGTCACACCCAACAATCAGTATCTGTCAGTTGTTGCGCTCACGGTTCGGAAACAAGTGCTCGGCTTATTATGATCCTCGGTCGTAATTCCACTTTGTATGTACACTCGTCATTCGCTACTGGATTATCTGAGTATCCTCGATCTACAGAGCCTTCAGAGAGACACAGCAGAAAGTATAGTTGGGAGGAGCACCAATTCAGTCGTTGAGCGCTATGAGACAGGCGGCTGCCGCAACACGTTTGATGCAACATATGCCAGTTGCTGCTGCATTGAGACAGCCTGTATTACAGCGCGCCACCTACACGAATCGTCTATGATCCGATACCGCCGGAGAACAGGTCTACTAGTGCCATTAATTTCAAATATAATGGCAACTCTGGAATTTCGCTGACCTGCGCCTTGCTGGTTCGTGACTCATCGGAACGGATGAACAGGTGACTTCAGCTGCTGAGCGGTCGATCACCGAGTACTAAGCAACGTCGAAGAGATTGTGGCAGTACCAGCGGGTGCATGAGTGCGAGAGACGTACTCGAGCAATGATTCAAATGGTGACTCTGACATGTAGACGTGATATAGAATTCTCGAATAGACACCAGTTGCTTTCTGAAGCTTAGAAATCGCCGACCGGAAGTGATGCATGAGTGAGCGTGTGCCAGGGACCTATGACGCTCGACGTCAGTGGCTGCGTTGTCCGAATCACCGGTACAATACGACCAGCATACATTTCAGTGAATATCCATCCCACACAAAGCTTGAATACGCACATTCGATTCATGCTATCTCAGCGCTGTGCCTGCCCATCGAATTTTCTCCGAGTGCACCATCCAACAATACTGCTTTAACTCAACTTGAATCCATACGACATCAACACCGGAGACCATATCTATCGATGGAACCCACTCACATTTCGGGGAAGAGATTGCCGAGCCAAGGGTCTACCGTATAGGCAGAAACGGCCAAGAGGTAATCTCCGTTGCAGACCAAAAAAGCCAGCGAGCGTCTTTTAGCCAAGAGGAAGCATGGGCAACTCGAGGGGACCGAGCTGTTTGGGCTGCAGGCTGTTATTCTTTGCTTCAAGAACGACGAGTCTAAGCACCTGCGGACAGAGGGTCACACAGTGACAGAGGCACTGTTTGTTGGGTCTTGGTTAATATATGCTGCCATGCACACTTAACAAAATTTGTAGCGAGCAGACGTACGTCCGATTTGGTGGCAAGCTCCACGGGATCCACAGATCAACCCTAGGTTCGACACAAACCCCTCATGCCGCGTGGAGGGTCTTGGTATGACACTAAGATCAACCCCTTAATGAAGATGTGTCAAGATATACCATCCAGAAAGCGAGCATTTGTGGACGCTTTTACAGTATTCTTCAAGTTGCCGGAGTAAATGGAAATTCATGGAATTCCGCAGCGCACGACACCCGCCAGGGGAACTGACTAGTTCGGTCGCAATCACCCACTGCAAAAGAGATCTGCTTCTCCAGTCATTAAATTAAAATGAAGTACGGATCATCATAAACTCGAAGAACCATGAGGGATGAGCGCAAGCGGTTGGTGAGGACGTACTTCCAAGTCAGTGAGTGCGAACAGGCCTCTGCCAAGGATGAGTAGGAGCCGTTGTGGAGGCCTTTACTCCCTTTACTCAAATTTCTAGCAAAGACAGCGGTCGGAATGAGTAACTAAGTGGAAACGGAGAAGATCCAAGTCAGAGTGGAAAGAAGTAAAGCTGTGTAGCGTCTGTATTATTGTCGATGTAGGATCACGTGCAGATCGAGATTGCGATTATACCTGACGTCGGCAATATTGCACCACCGTCGTGACTGTAGGGGTTGTCGCCACGACTTTGATCAAGTTCTGCTGTCTGATAGAAACATTATAAATTATATCCCATTACGCATTTCAACTCACGTGTATTTAAACTGCGAACTACATATGGGTGCGCTGTATGACCTCTAAGTTGTTTACTGTCCGATACGATGATGCATCGTTTGCCAGTACTTCCATCATTCAGTGAGAAATGAGACTGCAATTTCAAACTAACCGGCTACATCCCAACAGAGAAATGTTGGGCTAATGTCATGGGCTTAATGCACTGTGGTTTAGAATAGGTTGTTGAAGGTACCTACTACGGATTGCCAGCGTGTATTGCAGTTCAAAGTTCAAGCTTTCAAGGCCTGTCGAACCGAGTTCATCAGCATAGCGGAGGCTCGCACACAATCATCGGTCGCGCCAGAGATTTTGCGGTGACTCCATATAAAAGTAGATGAAAAGGGTTGAAACGTGAGTCCGGACAGCCGAATGGCGCTGAGTCACTTGACTCTTCGATTCACTACACCTTCCATACTGGGAACGTCACTCTGTCCAAGCCTCGAGCGGATCCGCCCGCGCCGCCGAGTTTTTCTTAAATTAAATTCTCCGCGCCGCCGAGTTGACGTAGACGATCTCGACATTGCCAGAAAGCCTTTCAAGCTCCAGGAATACATGAGGCTACCGTCTTTATTTTCAATCTTGACTCTACTGTACTTTTCCAAATCGGACGACGTGCAAACGTGGGGTAGTGGTAACCTGAGTCGTTGCCACTCATGGACAATTTGCCAGGGATACAGCGGTAAGTTCAATATTAAACACGTCGACCCGCTCTGAGTTCGATTCTCGGCGTTTGCAATAGCCGTGGATTATTCTGTCTACATGTACTTAATTAAACACTCTCCGGCCGCGATTCTTGGTAAATGAGATATGCTGTATGCTCGGAGTAACAGCCCTTAGGCCTTAACAAGGATGGTGACTAGACCTGTGGCGGGAAGTTGCCTGCATATTGCGAGCTGGTACTACTCGAGTCGCATCACCCAAGGGGACGCTCGCAGGCTCGACGGCAGCCCTCGGAGTGCTTACGTAGAGCGTGTTATGTGGCATCACTGTTAGTAAAGAATGTAATGCATTGTCCCCAGATAAACCTACTACCCGTATAATCGAAGACAGCAGTATCCAGCCTGCGCCTGAGATCGGCTGGTCACACCTATGCCCCATCAACAGTCTAATCATCACGGTCGTATATTGTTCGTCGCAAATGCAAGGCCTGGTCAGAATCCAGTACAACTAACCGCCCCCCCCCTCCCCCACAGCGCGCCGACCTATGCCAGCGATGGCGGCCCGACGCCGCATCCTCCCGGAGTATATCGAAGTGAAAGTGTGAATGCCGTAAAGTACAATGCGTAGTCGTGAACGAAGTTGCCGATAATGTTATGTGCGCCGCCGATGCGCACAGCGCCAATCTTGGTGGGTGCATGCAGTGAAAGGGGAGGATGGGGATGGGAAACGCTCATTCGGGCGGCTGTAACCGTAGTCTCGCTCCTTTGTGCGCGCGTCAACACCACAGGTCGTATACGCGCGAGTGGCAGACATACCTGATGAGCAGAGACGCGAAAGTGGACACCGAGCGCAGTGCTCAGGCGATCGTGCAGACATAGCCTGCATTACCGTTGGTCCGGTCGTAATTCGAGGGCACCTGGCTCGTCTCGGTCTCCTCGGATGGGAGGGGGGCAGCGATATCGAGGGCGATGTAAGTCCAAGCGTCCATTGCGATGTGTCGTGAAGTGGCGAGGAAGACCGGCGAGGGCGGGGTGGGTACCGAGGAGGGTGGGTCGTGAAAGGTCCGAAGGACTTGCAGTGGGGTGCAGGTCGGTCTGCCAAGTATATATACGTGCTCGGATCGTCAAACGCACGGTGCGCTGCAACGGCAGACAATAAGAAGTGTAGCGTGGCCACAGGCGTTACCGATTTGACGAACACGGACGTTGACAGGCGCGGCCGGATGAAAGGATGACTTGTACGCGTCTTGCTCTAATTCCGGAACCTGCGAAACGCTAATGTCGCAACTCGGGTAGCATATGCGGGCTGCGTCATGATCGAATATGCTCACCTTGATCAGGCACGTCGGAGACGCTATTGTCTGCCCAGATCCCGATCCGAGTGGCGACTCCCGTCGGGCCTGGTACGCCGTAAAGGTGAAGGATTGTCTAAAGAGTGATGATGGACTGCCAGAGTCCGTGAGTCTAAGTCGCTCGTTGAGGCGACGTGAACACCACGATGTTACTTATCGGCCGCTGAGCCACCCGCGGGCGCCGACTCGGAGATGTCTCGAGGACGACACGGTCGCTCCATCAAGCCATTGTCCGCTCAATGAGTCAAAGGTACCAATGAGACACGATCGTGTCGCGATCGACGAGCTAGCCCGAGTGGGAGCTAAACCATCCTGCGATACCATGCGAAGGGATCTGCGCAAAGACATATCCGACTGACTCATCTGCACGCCGACACCAGCCTGGTTTGAGATTAGGCGGGATGTGTTGGTGCGAGGCGAGCACGTTGCGCTCGACGCGCATGGCTGCCGTAGTGCCCCGGCCTGCTTTATTGTACAGTACGCGGTCACGTGTAGCGTGTAACAGCGGCAATTCCCTGATGCAGACGCGAAACAAGCCAAGGTGTCCGCATTCGGTACCGCGTGAAGTCGCCCTTCGACTTCTCCATTGTCCTTAACGGCGGCATTGAAGAAGTCTCGACGCGGGAATGAAACTCCCGGTGATCGGGAACACACAGAGAACACACAGAGATGATAGGTTGATACCTGTAAGTTTGGCAGCGTGTCCATGCATTTCGCAGCCACTGAACAGATGAGAATCTGTCGGAATGTGAATGTATGCGTAACAGGAGGTCGTTCGACTAACCGTTTGCCTGTCGCCCTTCGATTCAGTTATATTCGCTTGGCCTGTGCATTGATAAGTCATATATATGTTCGTAGTAATCTACACGAACGACAGCTATACGGCGCGACTGCTGAACACAGCATAGATGTTCGAGCAGGCCCGAAGGACGTCGTGCTCAGCTGACTACACCTATCTCTAGCCAGCATTGCGTTTCCTGAAGTCTTCAGTTTCACTTGCCTTGAAGGAGCTATCAGGTGCCTGCCCCGCAAGATGCTGCGAAGCTAGGCAATCTCCTTCCGTATGCGTAAGGAAACACGCGCAGGTATCATATAGCCTGGACATCTTCCTACGAAGGCACTGCGCCGATCAGCGAACTTTCCAATTCGATTTGACGAATTCCGGCGAGGATGAAAACACATGATAGCATGAACTGCCAGTAATGCGAACGGAGTCAGCATGTCTGCTCATGTAATTTCAGCGAAGTCGAGTGTTACTCACTCTCGGAGACTTATCGCGTTCCCAACTTGTTCCCAGCGTCCCCTAACAAGGCGCTTGTTTCGCAAAGAAGCCAGGGATAGCCTCAAACGGTCTCCTATCCTTCAAATGCGACGACAGATGCCATCTCCAATGTATGCACGTCATACCAATCAACGCCATATGGCATGACAGTGCACAATCAGGACGATAATCCTGTATGCCACTAAGACCAGGCGGAGTGTGCGTTACACTTCAGTAGAATTCCACGAACTACAGAGCAACCGCACGCATTCTCACCTCACCGGCGGTTCCGTAGAAACACTGAGTTACATTTCCGGTATGAGGGCGTCTGGAAGCTGCCAGGAAGCTCGTACGAAACGGGTTGGACGTAGTAGAATCTCTTTTCAGATCGCCCGAACTTCGTCACAGGAAGCAAATTCGAGGGCCTTTGAGCGTCCGAGACCCGGAAATTATGGATGCTGACGACGACGCTGGATGTAGGAAGCTGGAGGCCTCTGAAGTAAACATATTGGACTTGCGTTGCGGAGAGGAGACTGTTGGGTTGGAAAGTATGCGGACCGAGGAAAGGGGGCACTCGGAAATGGGGGCGGGATGGTTGCCTTGCCAATTCGAGCGAAGCGTCGGCTATACCCGAGTACCGGGGCTGCAGCGCCTTGTCTGCTCGCCGTGTCTCATCACCTCAAGCCCACCAGTGCCGTCTCGTCCTCGTCGCTGTGCACGACGACGAACAAGGCCAACGCGCCCCGGTCCCCGGCTTGACTTTACGACCCGATATTCACGGCTCGTATCGGCTCCCTTGCATCCCCCTCTCGACGCCGAATTCACTCTTCTTTCTCGGCGATCTGACCTTAGGCGGCGGCATCTCTTTCTCAGGAGCCTCTTGATCAATGGCTTTCAACCAGGTCACTGCGACGTCCTTGACACCATCGCGACCTGCTCCAGCTGCTCCCGTTAGGCGAGCGGCCGACATCGGCAACGCCCTCGCTTCGTCAGGCTACGCTTCCTCGTTTTCTGTCGGCATGTCCTCGCCATCCGGCTCATCATACGCCTCCTCCTACTCTGGCATCGGTGCGTCACCAATTCGCAACACCGACATGTACTCCGGCTCCGAGGTCATCAGGGCTGGCGTGGTCACCGTGAAGGAAGATGGGATTGTTAGTTGGCTTTGGCGGCCGAAGTGGCTGGTATTGAAGGAGGGCACGCTCTCTATATACAAGAGCGAGGTGAGTCTTCATCGACAATCGTTCATTTAACTATCGCGGATATTGTTGCGCTCCCCTTCCCCCGCGCGGCATTCTCGTGCTCGAGATAGCATTGATCGAGGAGGGGTAGTCAGAGGCCAAGTAGCGGTTGGGTGCTTCTAATCACTCCAAGCTGCCTGGCTCTTAGGCCTTCACTGTCGCTCTGGTTTCTCTGAGGCAGTCACGGACGATTTCCTGGTCATCTCCCGTCTATCTGGACTGCCCGTATAGTCTGTCGCTCAGCACATCAGTGACCGGATGTCAGCTGTGCTATCTTGTCTGACTAAGTGCTGGGCTCTTCGGGAGAACTCATGAAATGCCGGTTGGTTGCGCTCGTGTCTTATTATTGGTGATATACCGGATCGGTACTCTTCTGTACTGACGAAGGTGATATACTTTCTCGCTCTGCTGAACTGCAATACTGCGTCGCCGATGATTTCGTGCTAGACCAGCCCCGTTTTGCATATTGGTGCGTCGCAGGAGCCAGTCGTCGTTGATCACGCTCTCGTGCGATGCCGGTCACCTGTTCACGACGTTTGGGAAGTCGATTGCCCCCTCCCTCTCGGACATTGCTTCGGGAACAGGGGCTCCGTGGCGCCTCCTTCCATCGCTTCTCATTTCCCTCCTCGATAACATGCTTGCGAGGTAAAAGGAGGGAGGTCAAAGGAGGGGAAGGTTGATTGACAATCGCCTAATGTGTCAATGCACGCGATGATCATCGTTTGACAGTCGCTGAGGCTGTGCTGCCTATATGCGTCCGATATCCACCAGACGCTGGCAATTGGTTGCATTTGCTAGCAGCTTGCTAGACCGCCCAGGTTTGTGACACCTGCGGGGCGTAGCGCAAGCCTCCTTCAACATCGTTGTTGTGATTGGTGGCACTCGTGCTCGCTTGTATCTTCACTGAAGTCATCTACTCGAGCACTATGCTCACCATTAGTACAGTCGTCGCCACAACATCAATATCTAATCCAACTGTCTGACATCGCAAATATCGAGCGAACGGACCTCAAGCCCTATTGTCTTCTGCTCGAGACGAAAGACAAGCGGTGGTTCCTGTCGCTCAAGAACGATGAGGAACTATATGGCTGGCAAGATGACATCTACTCCCGAAGTCCAATGGCGGGCGTAAGCAACCCAACGAACTTCGTCCACAAAGTCCACGTTGGCTTCGATCCTGTTTCCGGAGCGTTCACGGTGAGTATCTTTTCAGTTGCTGTGC